ACAMRAGAGAGAGAGAGAGAGGRGAGASRCKMWAAAAAATCCCCATTTGATGTAGCTATACAGTTCAGCTCAGTGGCAAAATTGTGTCGATTTCTGTGTTGGCTGAGGATGATTAGCTGTGGTGACTAATCTTTTATTGCACATGTGGYCAACTCAAGGCCYGYRGGCMAAATGTGGCCCGCCACRGCATTTTATGTGACCCCTCAAGAGTTTGAAATGTGTAATGATGTCTTAAACTAAGTTGCTTTAAAGCTATTAACCRCTTAACACTCGCCYCTGAAATTCCTTAAATGCCATTGATTTTTTTTGTAATGGTGTCAGGTTAAARATAAGAACCGGAGGAARTCATCTGACACCTCTGGAAACGTCTGCAAAATGTTTAAAAGCAGAAAYGGCACMGWTTTTGCCCACCAGTGGAASAAAGACAGAATCTCYCATAATGCACGTTGATTATCTTACTTGCAAAATGACTGCATGTCACCACTAGGTGGAGGTGGACAGGGTTCAAAAGCAGATGATAGCTGGTAGCTAGCAGTCTACTTTTTCTGTGTTGAACTGGCTTACATGTCAACCTCTTCAGAGCTGTATCTTGACCCTGAAAAATCTGTTATTTTCACACACACAAAAAAACTGTATTATTCATGTGTGTGTGTGGTGGGGGGTTAAAATCGGCTGGGATCATGCAGAAAGTGGAGCAGAGATAGCAGCACCTGAAGCACAGAGGAGCAAGGAAAGGAGGACGGGGAGAAGTGTAAAACTCCTTTCTACTTATTAGTGGCAGAATGGGTTAGGAAATGATTTTTAAACTTTATTTATTGTGGTTTTTTTTTTTTACATCCTACAGGCTATGAGATGTGAAATTAATATGATTGTTTTAGGTTATTCTCTACTTTGACACACCTGGACACCAGAATGAGTGATTATCAGGCTTCTGCCAAACTTGAAGACTTGCTGTAGAGCAGGGAAACAACCAAAACATGCAGGATAGTGGCCTTCGGGGACTAGGATTGGGCACGATTGTCTTGGGTATTCTAAGATCAACACTAAGAGGTGATCTGATTTTTGATGTTGCTGCTTCAAAACTGGGGAACAGATTGTCCTAATGTAATCCAGGTAAAAAATCAAAAAAGAAAAAAATTATATAGGTCCTCTGGACGGGTTCTTCTCTAATGAAACGTTCTAATGAAACTGTTCAAAAGAATGTCCCAACACAGACGAGCTACATCTAATGGCCAGAACTCTGCAGTTTTCACTCATTTACAG